GGAAGTGGTGTTCTCTTGTAGTGCCATGGAAATGTATAAAACGAAAGAAAAGTAGAGCAGCGAGCTTCGCAATATAACAAACACAAACAAAACGTGAACGTTGCGGTCATACATCAGCACATACATAAATCAAAGAAAACCACACGAATACAGAAAATCACTCAACTGAGTATCCAGAAGCAGCCTCATTGATGTTTTGCGAGTGGAATAAGATTAAAACGTTAGGCTCAGAATAAATAGCTCTGGAATGCCAGGGACCACAACTCGATAATTTTAATGAAACTGTGTTGACAGTTCAGTCCCAAAGTGAGAAAAAAAAAGCGATGTTCAAGAGTCTTGAAGACTCTGTCACTGGAGTGGCTTGATTTCATGGCTGTGACCTCCATGTCGTAGACACCTTGTTGATCCTGGGAATTGAAGTGCAACCGTACTGATTTTAGGGTACCGTTCTGCATATCAAAAAGATGTTGTCTGAACCTGTCAGCCAGTCGTAGACCCGTTTAACCGATGTATTGAATGCCACATCTCTTTCAGTTGATGGCGTAAATTACATTGCGGCTCGTGCAATAGAATGCTTTACGTATGTGAAAGGTAGCATTGGGAAATTCCAGATTAGATTCCTGAACCACATATGGCCAGGTCCTGCATACAGGTCTGTGGCAAGAGACAGTGCAGGTGGGACTCAGACGCGGGACGTAACCGACTCTTGACTAGAATGTCCTTGAGGTTACGGTTATGACGGTAGGCCACTAAAGGAAGTTCAGAGACAATCGTGCTGGTGACAGGGACAGTCCTACAGCTGGAGAGATGCCTCAGAACAATGGATAGACCGTGCTCGGCGAAAGGCAGTAGATAAAACATGTTCAGGATACCCTAGAAGTCGGAAGAAGTCCAGCATTCCCAGGGCCTTGTGGAAAAAGTCCAGCATTCCTAGAGCCTTGTAGTGAAAGTTGTCGTTCTCCTGGCATAGTCTGCTGTGGCGTAGAAGCTGAGAGAATGGAATGGAGTCCTTGCAGGAAGAGGGACTTGTAGTGTCAGAACTCAGCACCGGTGCCTGCGTCTGCTAGCTGATTCTTTTCCAAGGGAAGCAGAAAATAAAAGTCGATAGTTAGAGGTCCAGGGAGCGGGAGCGGTTTAGAAGTTAGTGGACCAGCTTGTTTAATCCTTAGCATTAGCAAGACGAAAATGATGAATATGAATGGGGTGGATTCAAGAGGAGTGAAGAAATAAGAGAAATGTTTGGGCAACCACTAGTGTCAAGTCAACAGCTAAAAGATGGAGAAGATAGGGCTATTTGACATTTTCCGAGAAGAGACCAACAAGTAATCACAGACAGGCACTGTAGGTAGGTAGGTAAGTTGAACCCCACCAGGATATTACACAAGCGATAAACACCCGGTGACACAAAGTGCCACCATGTGGATGAGGATCACCCGTGGAGAGGTCCCGGAAACCCCGTTTAGCCGTTAGGCCATATTTAAGGCCCAGCTATATTTAGGGAGTGAAAAAACGAGAAGTCCAAGAGAAACACTCAGTCGAACATTTATGCGAGAAGCCAAAGGTGCTGGATTGGATTCCACCTATGATACCGAAGTGATTGCGAAGGATAGAACGCAACTGAGAACAAGACTATGTATCAGAAAATTGCAGGACAATAGAAAACGTAGCAAGATTATGTTTCTTACGAGTGCTGCTTTGTGGTCGACACAGCCTCTTGAAATGGGTACCACACAGATTCCTTAGCCTTCTGTGATTTGTGTGGGAAAGAAAGTAACCAGGAAGGCAATTGTCCTTACTTTATGGCCTACGTTGTGTATAGTGTCAGCACTGCAGCTTCAAGAATGTTGTCTGCTATAGAGCTAACCAGTGCCGCCTTTAAGCATGGGCTCGCTAGGCACTTACCCAGGGACCCTATGACAATAAAGGCTCCATACTAATCTGTGTAAGTGACTTGCCATAATGACTGTCGTAGGTGCCCCATGAAACTGGTTTTTACAGGGGCCCATAATGCTATTGATACACCTATGGAAGAAACTTTATCTTTTTGATCATGTAGCAGCCACACAAAGTTCACGTAATATGCATGTGTCATGGGCAATTCAAGTATAGACAGACTGGCTGGCTCTGTAACCGTTTCAGTGGCTTCATACAATATGCGCTTAAATTATTGTGTGTGTGGAAGGTTCATTGCATAATGGATGAAAAATGTTCTAGGGAAGAGCAATATATGAGGAATGGTGTGTGACAGAAGAATATTGTGATATTTTCTATTCTCACTTGTATGACACCGCAGCTTTCTATGAAACAATGATAGAGATGTTGGTCACCGATGAGAATACAGAGCAACAGAGTATAAGGCGCTTGAACTAGTCGAGAGCACATTCGCTAGAGAGAAGACTTCACACAGAGCTGATGTGTCTACTGACTGAAGTGTATTTACAAAAAAAAAACATGATGTGTTGATAAATCAAGTGATTTACCCAGCCACGACGGAGAGCAGATTGTTTGGAAACTATAGGCGGCCCTGCGATTACAGCTGTGTACAGTATCCCACAGAACTGCTGCGATTCTTTCCAGATGGATTCTCCCTTAAATAGTGACCCTTGAATCATCAGGTGTCAATCGTTCAGACAAATCCGGTAGTTAGCGATTAAAAATAATGAATGAGTGAGTGATGTTCAACCCCACCAGGATAGCACAACGAGCGATTAACATCCGGTGACACAAAGTGCCACCATTTGGATGAGAATTCCCCGTTCAACCGTTAGGTTATGTTAGGGCTCACCGACGACAACCGAGGTGGGGCTTTGACAGAATAAATGAAAAATAAAAATAAAAAATTGGGTTCTAAATATGGACGGAGTCAATTATTAAAAATAATAATTATAATATTTAAAAAATAATCTGTTAAAAAGTGTATGGTGATCTTGAAGGAACAACAATGCGCAATACAAAACTTATGAATTAATCCAGTAACAGAAAGTCTGAGGCGACCACTGGTTTATTTGTCTGCAATATCCACTAATCGTGTCAGACAATGAGTTTGTTCTGTATTTACAGACTCCATGTAAATCTGCTAGAGGGAAGTCATGGAAATTGAGATTAGCCAGTCACGATTAACAACATGAATACCTGCAGTATGTCCCCATTTCTTCTGTACTGTTCAAAAACACGCATAGTTATCCGATGGCGTTTATTAAAATAAGTTTGTAAATAAAATATCGTACTCGGGTATGTGAAAAGCAGACTCAAATGTTGTTTACTGTGTCCAGTGGACAGGTGGGCGGGAATTGCGTGGGTTTTTGAAATCGTTACAACACAGTGTAAATTGTATTTGAGACCATATTTGTGAGCATAGCTCATAATGCGCACACGAGAAAGAAACAGAATTTGGTGCCAACACTATTCACTGCCTTCGCAACTGAAACTCCATAAAAGGGTAACGCTAACCAAAACATTCAGTTCATTTTAAAGCAGCCAGAAATGGCGCCTCTATCGATAAATGAAAGGAATATTGCTATTGGCCAATTGCAGGCAGAAGAAACTCAGGTTGCCAGGCATCTAAACGTGCATCAGAGTACCAGCCTTTGACTTTAGCACCGGTTCCAAGCCATTGGTTCAGTTAAAGACTGACATCGCAGTGGACGACACAGAATGACAACAGCAGTTGAGAATCGTTTTTTTTTTTGGCTTCGTCACCTCAGAGACAGGTTTACAACAGCTTCATCAGCTGCGAAATCATTGCCTCAAACTGTTCGGAACAAGCTGCATGACATTGGGTTTTGGATTCTCCGACCAAATAGACTTGCCCTTTGAGTCACTAGGTGTTAATATTCTAGAACGCATTCCTGAAAAAAAGGGGGGGGGGGACAATTCTAAGTTCTCTGAACATTACCATGTCGCTCACTCCTCACTCACTCACTCACTCACTCACTCACTCACTCACTCACTCACTCACTCACTCACTCACTCACTCACTCACTCACTCACTCACTCACTCACTCACTCACTCACTCACTCACTCACTCACTCACTCACTCACTCACTCACTCACTCACTCACTCACTCACTCACTCACTCACTCACTCACTCACTCACTCACTCACTCACTCACTCACTCACTCACTCACTCACTCACTCACTCACTCACTCACTCACTCACTCACTCACTCACTCACTCACTTACTGACTCACTGACTCACTGACTCACTCACTCACTCACTCACTCACTCACTCACTCACTCACTCACTCACTCACTCACTCACTCACTCACTCACTCACTCACTCACTCACTCACTCACTCACTCACTCACTCACTCACTCACTCACTCACTCACTCACTCACTCACTGCCTTATTTCACCGAGTTACTGACTTATAGTTCTATTGATTGTCAATGTAAGGCTTCTCAAATATTTCGCTCACATACACACACACACACACTCAAACAAGCACACACACACACACTCACACACATACACTAACACCCAACTGATTGACATCGAAACACGAATGGACTAAAAAAAAAAAAACAGTGACCTACATGCCAAACAAAAATGCCGGAAATGGCAATAACTGCTGGACTTCCAAGATATGAACATAACTGAGACTCAAGCCTAAGGCATCTTCGACATCGGGTGGTAATACAACCAGGCTACCATGAAGATGACTCACTAATACTTGAAGACAAACTCCATAAGCCATCTGCTAGTTCTGTGGTGTTCCGCTTTCTCACCCACATCAGGATCAATGGTAGCTAGAGAACTTTTCTTAATCTCACCACAACCCGTGTCAGACCGAGAACCATGCACTGTGTCAACAATTCCTACCACTTGTGCAAATGTAACGCTGGGCGGAAATTTGAATAATTTGCATGTTATTTGTTTAAGTACGGTGTCAGGTCAGGGAATGTTGCGACTTCTGAAGATCGGCTGCTCCGTGTAGCCAACAGTTTCCTCTGTGTTCACCGGCAGTAGCTGGGGACTTCCATTTATCAGATGATGGCTGAGACGTACAGACAGATCAGACGGCGATGCCTGGACTCCAAGACCCTATACAAAGACCCCAGTTTCCACGCTGACGCCAGGTCTCTGTTCAGACAGGGACCTTACTATGGAGTTAAGTGGAAGCGCCCTAAGGTTGGACATCACTTTCATCATCACCAGAGTTGTAGTAGTTGTCTTCATCTTCATCACCATGCTTATCACTGCTTATTATTTTTTTTTTTTAGTTATATTTATAGTTTAGTTTACAGTTATGTTTATAGGGTACATCATCATCTTTATAATAACCAGAGTTATAGTCATCACTTTGGTAGACTGTGCTGTATTGCTTCCCTACCATGGAGTATAGTGTGAGGATACATGTATATCTTACAATTATGTGCATAAACTGTCATCATCATCAGGTGCCTTGCCGACTGGCATGAACGATCATGCCTCTCCACAATCTGCTATCTCCTGCAGCATGTATCAGTTCGTGTGCTGGAACACCTCCATACCATACATCAAGACTGTCAAGAAATTCTCTCGTTGTCTTCCTCTATCCCTCCTTGCACAGATCTTTCCAGTGGTCACAAAATGTTTAATTTTCCCTCTTCTCATAACATGACCTAAAAATGATGACTGTCTCCTTCTGATGTCTGTGATAAGTTGTCGTCGGGCTCCCGAAAACCTCTTGGTTGCTTTTTTTTTTTTTTTTGGCTGTCCAAGGTATTCTAAGCATTGTTCTGTAAAACCACATCTATGAGGCCTCAAGAAATTATTTGGCCTGCCTACCGATTGTCCAGGACTCACAACCATATGTTAAAACTGGATGTATGTAGCAAGCAAGAATTCTGTTTTCTAACTTTCAATGACAGAGATATATTGCACAAGATGTTTTTCATTCTATAAAATGCAGTTTTTGCCTGTCCTGTTTCTTATCTCGGTGATGCATCATCCATCTGATGTTATTCATGTACCCAGATACTTAAATGTATGTACTTGTCCCAAAATAACACCATCGACTTTTTTTTACACATTTAGGAAATAATCTTTTCTTTGATACCAACATTACTTCTGTCTTTCCATTATTCAAACTGAGGCCCATTCTTCCACTTTCTACCACCACAATTTCTATCATTTCCTGTAGTTCTTTCTGACTTGTTGCTATCAAGACTGTGTCATAAGCATAAGGTAAAATGTTTATATTGTGCTCACCAACCACAATTCCCGGCATGTCAAGTAAAGATCTCATTATGTATTCACCGTATAATTAAAATGAATCAGGTGACAGTACACATCCTTGTCGTACGCCCCTCCTTTTGCTCTGAAATGTACCTAAACAGTTGTTAATTCTTATAGCTGCTGTTTGCTGCCAAAAAATATTCTTTATTATTCGTAGTTCTTTTCTATCAATGTTTCATTTTTATAATAGTTTGATTACTTCTTCATGTTTCACACAGTCAAATGCTTTTGTATAGTCTATAAAGCATAAGTACAAATCAGGCTTTACTTCTATTGCACTTTCTGACACTATCCCTAGGATGTATACAGCATTGTTCGTACTTTTTACTTCTACAAATCCATATTGTGCATCGCTGATTTCTGGTTTAATTTTGTTTCTTATTCTTCTCATAAATGTTCAGGATGTTTCTACCATTTACTTTTTCTACAGTAGCCGCATGACAGTCAGGTGTCACCCGTAGAACATGATGCTCCATACCGGAAGAGGTGCTTTCACTGGAATCTCCATTCACGTCGTTATCCGAATTCGTTGTTTCGAGGCATAATTTTTCTAGGAATAATACAACGGCGATTTCCCCTTGCTTCCGCCGGTTTGTATATGGTTTCACTCCAATAGCCTCCGTTTAAAGAGACACCCTGCAAGACATCAGAGGGATAGGATATAGCGCCTCTTCCCCGCCGATGGTCATGTCATAGAGTTTATATATCATCGGCGGCGAAGAGGCGCTATATCCTATCCCTCTGATGTCTTGCAGGGTGTCTCTTTAGACGGAGGCTATTGGAGTCAAACCATATACAAACCGGCGGAAGCAAGGGGAAACCACCGTTGTATATATATATATATATATATATATATATATATATATATATATATATATATATATATGTGTGTGTGTGTGTGTGTGTGTGTGTGTGTGTGTGTGTAAAACATAGACACGTGCTAGCAGCGATTTACTGGATAAATCTTAGTCGTCCCCTTGTGAGATGCAATTTTTTGTTATTTTGAAGCCCCACCCTGGCTCTTGCCAGGGGCTGCAATATAGCCCGGCAAAAAATATGGCCTAATGGCTTAACGCGGTTTCCGGGACCTCTCGTCATGTGATCCTCATCCGCATTGTGGCACTTTGTGTCATCAAGTGTTTATCGCTTGTGGGATGTCCTAGTGGGGTAAAATGTACTACTACTACTACTATATACTGGCCCCTGCATCCTAAGGTAGGGCTGATAGATGGCAGAGATGCCCTTACAGTTGGAATAATTTGCTGTCTACAAAATAGGGCAGAACTGATTACACACATCATCGATACCCTTATAGTTTGAACAATTCACTGTTTACTTCGTAGAGCTGAACTCACTAAACACATCATGTATGCCCCTATACATGGAACAACTCAGTGTTACATCCCAGCAAAGAACCGTGGTTAGAATAGTTTTAGACATCCCATGATTTTTGGCAGGTTTCATTTGGCCCTGTCTGTTTTCTCTGCAGGAAATCAGCCGGAAGCCATTGTTTGTTCAAGAGGGAGCAGCTTATTATGACATGGACCAGGGCAGTGTGGGTAAGATTGTATGTTCTCATCAGGTTGTCCATTGCTCATTAACCACCAAACCACCAGGACACTAGCACAGTCAGGTCACACACCAAAAGCCATCCTGTCATGTCAAGAAAGTTTTCCCAATCCATTATCGGTGTTTTCCTGATCTATTACCAGTGTTTCCCCATCCAGTACCAATGTTTTCCAGACTCAGAACAATGTTTATATATCTAGTACCAATGCTTCCCCCCCCCCCCCCCCCCCCCCAGAATAATTTTTTTTCCGACCAGTACCAATATTTTCCTGACCCAGTACAAATACACTATCTTCGTTAGAACTATGGGATAACTCACATTCCCGTGTCTAGACCCATTAAACTTCAGTATTTCAAAAACTAATGCCAGCACTTCCCATGTGTGGAAAAGCTTGTTAGCGTGTAACCCTATTCCGATTCATAACGACCTGCTACAACTGGGTCTAGGTTGGTTGGGTTTCCACCACAGATTTATGGTATTTCTTTGTCATCATAAAGAAATAAAGTTATGACCCTTGTTCGCCTATGGCGCATAGAGCATATGATGCTAGGCTCATATTATGATATCCCAATCCTTGTCAACAGATCCGTTTTTAATTACCCAAAGGGAGTGACAATGTTATAACATAAACAAGCAAAAGAATATGATATCATCACCATAACCACATTTTCAAGCTCAACATAACGTTAGAATTGGCTCGATCGTTGTTCAAGAGTTGAGGTGGCGGAATGTTGTAGTGCGCTTATTTATACAACAATAACAACACATGATTTACATTTTACAAACACAGTGGAGAAGGGATGGACAAAGAAGAAAAGAAGTTACAGAAGGGGGATGAGTAGAAGAATAAGGCGCTTCGTATGCAATGCTCAGAACACATTTACGTGCTGATTATCAAACCTGTGGTGCATGTCTGCAGGAAATTGTTGGTTCATCGCTTCAGTGGCCTGTCTGTTCGCCTCCTCCCACAAACAGATCCTGTCTCGGGTGGTTCCAACAGACCAAGGTTTCGGGCCCGAGTACTGCGGTAAGTGGCTGTTACCTGTCTCTCTCTCATGACTGCTGTCACACACACACTGTCAAACCGATTCATTTAAATACTAACACCAACATTTCTTTGATCAGGTTCAGCTTCCTTATTCAGACTGGTGACGTTTTTATTGTTGTATGCTTGTTGATCTTTGTTTATTGTTATGTTAACTATTGTTTTGTTTAATAGTAACACACACACATTCACACGCACTCACGCACGCACACACACACACATACACAGGCATACAGGCACGCGAGCACGCGCACACTCGCACACGCACCCACGCACACGCACACACGCGCACGCACACACACACACACACACACACGCACGCACACACACACGCACACACACGCACGCGCATACATGCATACTCGCACGCACACACACAAACGCACCCCCGCACACGCACACACATATACACACACAAACTCACACACAAACTGGCAGACATCGGACAATTTGGCTTTGGAATAGAACCTAATCAATATATTACAAATAAAGACGACTGAAGAGCCTTGATCTTTGATGCAGCTCCTTGACCAAGAACCCTCAGAAAAAAAATGAGGATAAAAGTTGTTGAAGAAATTCTTGAAAAAGTGAAATGCTCTATGATTGTTGCAGGAGCGTTTTACTTTAACTTCTGGCACTACGGCAAGTGGGTGGAGGTGGTGGTGGATGACCGACTGCCCACCTACAACAACAAACTCATCTACGCCAGCAACAAGAAACATCCCAACGAGTACTGGTGCCCTCTTCTGGAGAAAGCCTTCGCCAAGTGAGATTCTTTCTGTCTGACCCTATGACTTGTCTCCACTGCTGGTGCCTGTTGCTAAGACCACTCTTAAGAACTTGTTTCATTGCCATTGTGAGACCAGTGTTGTGAGTGACTAGTGTAGTGAGGAAACAATTGGTCGTCTTACCTCCTGCTGTTATGCCATATAAATGATACAAACCACACTGTTGGGGTAACCTGTGACCAAAACTTCAACGGGGTCACTGTCAGAAGAGAAGAAGAAGAAAGTACAGTCTACCATTGGGCTTTGGGGTAGCATTCCAAAACCATGTATTGCACTGACCATCACCACCCTGTTAATATGTATTTGTTGTCCAGCCTCCCACAGACATGATGTCTTGTCTAATCACTGTCCTCACTGTGTTTGGCATAAGTAAAGTTTCGAAACCGTCTTGCATACTTCGCTGGTTTGTGCACGTAGAGACGGGGAGGGAGACCTCTGCAACATAATCACCACGAAAAGGGTACATACATTATAATTAATTCAGGATTGAAGCCTCCGCCCGACATCACTAAGGAAAATGCAACAGTTTTGCATGATTCAGACTGTTTTATTGGCTTCCGAGTATCTGTTTTACATGGCTCAGCTGTACGTTTTACAGCATTTAGACAGTTTTACAAAACTCAGACCATGTTTTACAAAACCAAGACTATGTTTTACAGGATTCAGACTTTGCTTTACATTATTCAGACAACCAGCTTTGGGCGTGACAAGCCGTATACAAGCTAGCGTCTATACATCCCCGTCGATATCAGGTTAGGTTTGCCAGTGACACACTTATTTCTGTTTGCAGGTTGAACGGGAACTATGACGTCATTGATGGCGGCCGAGTGCACACCTCACTGGTAGACCTGACGGGAGGCATCGGCGAGATGTTGGTTCTGAAGAAGAACATCACAGACAGCGATCTCCAGGATGTTCTCTTCAACTGTCGCACAATGAACAGCATCATGGGAGCTGTCATATTTGTAAGTCATCTCAAAACATCACTGTAACATCGGTCATGTTTGTAAGTCATCTTCCAACATCACGGTAAAATCTGTCATATTTGTAAGTCATCTACCTACATCACGGTAAAATCGGTCATGCTTGTAAGTCACTTTCCAACAACGTGGTAAAATCTGTCATGTTTGTAAGTCACTTTCCAACAAGATAGTAAAATCGGTAATGTTTGTAAGCCATCTACCAACAACATGTTAAAATCGGTGGTGTTTGTAGGTAATCAACTAAAAACATGGTAAAATAGATGGTGTTTGTAGGTCATCAACCAACAACATAGTAAAATCGGTGTTTTTAGGTTTTCAACCAACAACATGGTAAAATAGATGGTGTTTGTAGGTAATCAACCAACAACATGGTAAAATCGGTGGTGTTTGAAGGTTATCAACCAACAACATGGTAAAGTTGGTGGTTTTGTATTGGTATGGTAGGGTGTGTCGTATTTGTGAAGAGTATCCCACTAGCATAGAGGCCAGACACTGTGTGTCACTTTAACACTGCATTAATAACATTGTCTGATCTACACCAAATAGTCTGATTACTCCTAATGATTAAAATTCCTGGCCGCAATCAAGGCCTTGTCATCAGCACAGAGTAATTCGTTGAGGTTGCTTTTATTTTCGTTACTGGGCCCAGCATCCTTGTTTATACTGTCAAGTTAGGAGATCAACAGAAGAGGTGATAGGACACATCTATGTCTTACTCCAGATGTTACATCTCCACCACTTTGAGGTGCAGTTTGGGATTTTCCCGTTCATCAAATTTGAGACTAGTTAATGGTTTTCCTGTTTTATCGATAATAACTACTGTTGGGTTGTAGTTGTCATCTCTTTTTCGCATAGTTTGTACTACTTTGAAGAATGTTCTGCTGGCGGTTTGCTCGCTTTCTGCTAACGACTCTCCGAAACTTTCCCAGGATTCCTGTTTTGCCTTTTTGATTCTCTGGCTGGTGTCTCTTCTTTGCAGCTTATATAATTATAATCTCTTTTTGATTTATGTGATCTGTTGAGTGATCAATGGGGATACAATACTTTAATCTAAACAGTTCTTCTAAACAAATGTTAACAACATCTCACAGCATGTGGTCCAACTTAGTTCCGAATTTAAAAAAAAATGTTTTTTCATGCCATAACATTTCAGTGAGTTTTATGTTTACAAAAAAAAAATAAAAAAAAATAAAAATAAAAATAAAATATGTATATAATTAAAACAGTCGCTTTCTTCTAGAACTTGGGATCAGTGCCTGGCGAACGAGAGGTCAAACAAGAGACAGGACTGTACGAGGGGCATGCCTACTCCATTATCAACGTGCAACAGGTTTGACTTGTGTGTTGTTTCATGCAGACACCAGACCACCTTGCCCATTTGTTCCCCCAGCAGACTGGTCATTGTTTGGCAGCGTGGACATTGCATCTGAAAATTACAAAATCAACAAGATCATCAGTGATCTCAAAGGAAAGGGTCTTGGGGAAGTGATTGCAGAAGGCTCCAAGAAGTCCCATCATGCAGCTCCGGCAGGTGGTGTAGCTCCAGCAGACACAGCGGCATCTCTTAAATGCAAGAGGGGAAAAAAACGATTCTGAGGAGTTTAAAAGCGACATAGGTTTTGTACTTTTGACTTAACAGGGACTTCAGCAACAAGTGATTGAAATTCAAACATAAAGTACACAAATAAAAAAAAAAAAAAAATAGCCCTTTGCTGATCAATGCAACAACTTATGTTCAGCAAACCGTCTCATCTGGGAGAGCAAACCTCTTGCCAAACCTGAAGTAAGGGCAGGGTTCCGATCTCCTAGCTGGTAAACATTCTTCAGGTTGTGAAATTCACACAGAGTGAAGATAGAGAGCTCTCCAGTGTTAAGCGGACAAAGCCTAATTTGTGTGTGTCTTTGCATTGAGCGAGTCGGTTGACACATGTCTTTCCTGTGAAATGTCCTTTTGCTACGGGTGGCTGATTTATGTAGCCCCAAATTGTATAAAATTGATGAAATGTCTGATCTGTTACCTCGAGTGTGTGTTATCGGCCCCATGAAGGAAGACAAGAACAGTAAGACGGTTACCTACAATAAGGAGAGTCAGAACCTAATGAACTACCACATTCGGCAGAAAACTAGCTGAACACTCCAAGCATAAACATTTCTACAAACCAGTTGGCAGAATTAACCCAGGATATCCGGGATCTACCGTGTTAGTTTAGAGAAATTAATGACGCCCAAGTGGAGTCTCTGCCTGAAGACTAACTCACAATAGTTCAGGGGAACCTGACGCAAGTCTGTAATACAAGACTAGCACACAGCAGTCCAGGGGAACCTGTCGCAAGTCTATAATACATGACTAGCACACAGCAGTCCAGGGGAACCTCACGCAAGTCTATAATACAAGACTAGCACACAGCAGTCCAGGGGAACCTCACGCAAGTCTATAATACAAGACTAGCACACAGTAGTCCAGGGGAACATTACGCAAGTCTATAATACAAGACTAGCACACAGCAGTCCAGGGGAATCTCACGTAAGTCTATAACACAAGACTAGCACACAGTAGTCCAGGGGAACCTGACGCAAGTCTATAACGCAAGACTAGCACACAGTAGTCCAGAGGAACCTCACGTAAGTCTATAACACAAGACTAGCACACAGCAGTCCAGGGGAACATTACGAAAGTCTATAACTCAAGACTAGCACACAGCAGTCCAGGGAAACCTCACGTAAGTCTATAACACAAGACTAGCAAACAGCAGTCCAGGGGAACATTACGAAAGTCTATAACTCAAGACTAGCACACAGTAGTCCAGAGGAACCTCACACAAGTCTATAACACAAGACTAGCACACAGCAGTCCAGAGGAACCTGAAGCAAGTCTATAACACAAGACTAGCACACAGTATTACTGGGGAACCTTACGTAAGTCTATAACACAAGACTAGCACACAGTAGTACAGAGGAACCTTACGTAAGTCTATAACACAAGACTAGCACACAGTAGTCCAGGGGAACCTCACAAAAGTCTGTAACACAAGACTAGCACACAGCAGTCCAGAGGGACCTCACAAAAGTCTGTAACAACATCTGTTGTAACACAAGCTCAGAACTGTAGTAAGTAGCTGAGATGCCACTAACCAGGAACACGATTAGTAGTAGAAAACAACGGTCAATATAAACTGGGTGAAATGACTCAGAACTGTTAATGTTTGACTCCCAGTTGTGCCAGCTGAATAATTTTTGTGTTTCACAGATTCGAACCGAGACTGGCAGCACTACTTTACTTCACATGAGAAACCCGTGGGGCTGGGGAGAGTGGAACGGAGCATGGAGTGACAAGTAAGTAGTTGTCTAGAGCTACTGCCGTGTTCACGGTTCGTTGCTTTAATCTGGGTTCTTTGTGTCCTTAGTTCGGTACATTTACCACATCCTTAATTCGGTATATTTACCACATCCTTAGTTCGGTACATTTACCACATCCTTAGTTCGGTACATTTACAACATCCTTAGTTCGGTATATTTACCACATCCTTAGTTCGGTACATTTACCACATCCTTAGTTCGGTACATTTACCACATCCTTAGTTCGGTATATTTACCACATCCTTAGTTCGGTACATTTAACACATCCTTAGTTCGGTATATTTACCACGTCCTTAGTTCGGTACATTTACCACATCCTTAGTTCGGTATATTTACCACATCCTTAATTCGGTATATTTACCACATCCTTAGTTCGGTACATTTACCATATTCTTAGTTCGGTACATTTACCACATCCTTAGTTCTGTACATTTACCACATCCTTAGTTCGGTACATTTACCACATCCTTAGTTCGGTACATTTACCACATCCTTAGTTCGGTAAAGCTACCACATCCTTAGTTCGGTATATTTACCACATCCTTAATTCGGTATATTTACCACATCCTTAGTTCGGTACATTTACCACACATCTTCATCCTGATGTGATTAAATTTACAGATCATCTGATTATGTGATACAGAAAACATAATGAAGTGTGCAAATCATCTGTTGAGGGATGAATAATATTTGTAGATCATCTACTGGTAGGGTATTGCAATTTAGAGATAATCTATTTGCAGTTCGATTAAGACTGTAGACTGTCTACTAGTTGTATGGTTTAAAAAACCATCTTAGTATCTGCATGACTGTTAAGAGTTAAAAGGCAGATACAATTACATTTCCCTCAGTGTGCGAGCGAGAATTGAGAACAGTATCCATGGATGGTGGAGACGTTCTCTGCTTGTGTATGTCGCATGTCTACATCGCATGCACCTGAGAGTCTAACACCATGTGTTTTTCATCCGATTGTCAACAGGTCACCGGAATGGAAATCTGTTCGTGAGGAAGACAAGCCAGCTCCACTGGGAAGTCGCAATGATGGAGAGTTTTGGTGGGTATCTCTTCTGTCCCGTCCTGTCCTGTTCTGTCATGCAAAGTCATCTCTCAGAGTAGCTGCGGACAAGAGGCACCTCCTGCATGAAGCCCTGGATAGAGCTAAGGGTCACATATTGAAAAGAGGAAAGTCTTGGATGAAGACACAATTCGACATGTGTGCAGGCTTGATAAATTTAGGCGACGAGAGGAATGGGTCAAAGTGTCCAGTCATGTTTCAGACTTGTGTAGGGTTCTAATCACCTTGGGACGTGAGTGCAGGAACTGGCCAGCTGGTGCTGCAGAATCAGAAGTTCAACAAATGATTCATGACAATTCCCGCCCAAGTGATGTGATTGTATATACAGATGGCTCTGTGGTGAGGGGCAGACAAAGTGCATGGGGGTTCATAGCGAAGGCGAATTGATGTCGCTTGGCGCATCAGCCTGGCATATGATATTACAACGTCTAGTTTAAGAATGGAGGTGGAGGCAGTCACTGCTGCCTTCCGTTGGCTTAAGAATCAGCTGTACACACATGTCGTCATTGTAACTGACTCACAGAGCATGCTGAGAAAGAAGGAGACAGGCATGCTCTGTGCAGAGTGGCAAGCATAACTTCAGAGGTCCCGGTTAGTTAACATCCTTTGGATATGTTCTTCAGGTGACGCGGGTGTGTTGGGAAATGAGCAGGCGGATAGACTGGCTGAATATTCACCACTTCGTGGTGAATATGACAAGCTGGATGTTGTGAGATCCCCTTGGGAGCGAGTGAACAGTGCCGAGGAACAGATAGATCATTTTGGTCTGAAGAGAATGTCACTGTGAGGAGTTACAAGGGGATCTGGCCGACGCTTGAAACTCGGGGGGGGGGGGTGGGGGGGGGCGAGACCGAAAACAATCAGACTGTTACTGGTACCATCGGAATTTTAACTCTGCGCTTGCTGCTGAAGATGTGAACGGAACGCTGATGGGAGTGTCCCGAGTGCTGTGATGTCGATTTTCAATTCAATATTCAACATTCAATATCTGTCCTGTTCTGTCTTGTCCTGCGCTGTCGAGCCTTCTCTCACATGTAGAGATGCTTGTGATCAGGGCTGTTTTGTTCGCTCAACTATGTGATGATTTAGGATTTCCCCATATTTGTACTTTTAAATCTTATGGTGAAGTTATTTTAAGGATTATTCTCGGCGTTTTGTTTTCTTATTTTTATAGTTATCATCAATACTGGCTTGATGCACTTTCCGTATAAGCTAGAGTGTTTTTGTTGATGTCTTTCAGGATTAACTTAACAGATTTCAGGACACACTTTGATGAACTAGAGTTGTGTCACCTGACACCAGATGCTTTAACACAGGAACTAGCTGAAAATCTGGTTAGTGTCTTTAAAGTCACACAGTCAGTTAGTTAAGGTGGCTTCTCTTTATTTTTTCAGTGTGGGAAATACTGAGATACATCCCTACAATTTTGCACTTGAAAAAGCTGAGTGTGTACACTGATGACGAACTGTAATGCAGTGGGAGATCGTGACTGCATGATAGCCCCTGATATACGTTTTTCTCAAGAAAGACTAAAAAAGAAGAAGAAAAGCAATAATAATAATAATAAAAATTAATAATAGGAAGAAGAAGAAGAAGAAGAAGAAGAAGAAGAAGAAGAAGAAGAAGAAGAAGAAGAAGAAGAAGAAGAAGAAGAAGAAGAAGAAGAAGAAGAAACTTTTTCCGCGGCACCCTTATCGGGCTACATTTATTTCACGCACACCTACCCTTAAAGCGGTTCGTATACTTCGGAGAAGAAAAAAATTTAGTGTGGCTCTGTCTAGTTTTTTTTTTGTTTGGAACTCATCACAATGCTGTACTGACGTTCTTAGATATAAATTATTACTATGAACACACTAGACGATAACCACGCCCTTCGGCAGTTATTGATTTTTATTTGATGTTCCAACATCGGCACTGTCTAGTCGCTCATCTGTGTTCTCGTGGGTGTTACACATGGCTTATTTATAACAACAGTTTCAACTATCTCACAGTGTAAATCTCTCTGCAGTTACCTTTCGGACTATACATCTGGATCAGGCTAACATCTTGTTCCTTGTACGTTTTGTACCTTTACACAGTTGAAACGTGCGTCAGTAGACATTTATTCCTCATCTCGAACAATTACACGTGGTAAGACAGTCCGCATTTTTTTTCAGTCGTTCCGCTGCATTCGACCGCACGCATCCCCGTCCAAACTTCCCACTGACTTCCTATCCTCTCTGAGTGCACACCTTTTGTTCTAGTCTCACGCTGTCCTCGTACCTCTATTCACCCAACACGGGATACTCGAGACAGGCTTATCTCACTTTCCTCTTGTTTCACTGATCCTCTGACCTTGTCCCCCAAATCGGGAACTCTCTGGGATTTTCCCGGAAATTCACCTCATCACAAGAAAAACGTTTTTAATGCCATAAATGAAAATGGATGAATTTGTCATTATTTCCTTTATATATAT